GTATTCCGCGTGTCCAACGAGGTCATTTTCCATCCTCGCTCATGGTATGGTTGGGAGTTTCTTATTGGGGCTTAACAGAGGTACATTTTTGTGAGAAAGGTGTAAAAACGAATGCAGTTGTGTATCAAAATACAGTCCTGACGAACCTTGTGGAACCTGTTTCTCATACCATGTTCAATAACAGGCACTGGGTATTCCAACAAGATTCGGCGCCAGCTCATAGAGCGAAGAGCACACAAGACTGGCTGGCGGCGCGTGAAATCGACTTCATCCGGCACGAAGACTGGCCCTCCTCCAGTCCAGATTTGAATCCGTTAGATTACAAGAGATGGCAACACTTGGAGGAAAAGGCGTGCTCAAAGCCTCATCCCAATTTGGAGTCACTCAAGACATTCTTGATTAAGGCAGCCGCCGATATTGACATGGACCTCGTTCGTGCTGCGACAGACGACTGGCCGCGCAGATTGAAGGCCTGTATTCAAAATCACGGAGGTCATTTTGAATAAACTTTTGTGTCATAAGAATCTATGTTTTGTTAAGTTTATTTTGGTATATGAATGGTTTCATAATGAATAAACTTGTTTCAATTATTTTACATTAAACATGTGACAGAATTTATGACCTGACTAGGTATTTAAAATCTATGTGTGTGTCGACGCGGTGACCGCGGCTTCGCGTAAAAAAATCTATTTTTTTTGTTTTTCCGCACTAAAAGGCAGACGGTGGCGCTAGTGTCGCGTCGAAGAACCATTTTTCAAGGAAAATTTTGTTACAACACGAATTTGACTTCCGGGATTCGATTATTACAAGTTTTTAGTCAAACGTGTAAATAGTTTATTGTAAATTGTTATATTTTCATGTAGTCTATCTTATATTGTATTTATTTTTCACATGTGTATATAAGTATATATTTTTATGTAAGTTTATCAAGATATAGCACCGTCCAGTTCGCTTATTCCTCTGCCTGTAAGGTTGCCTGGAAGAGATAGCTTTTAGCGATAAAACCGCCAATTTATGTCAAATACTATTATATGTTTTATATGCTTCTTTGTATATGTTGGTTTAAATAAAGAGTTATATTATTATTATTGTTAATCGTTTTCCAAAAGAAAGTCACATGAGAGGTCGCACTGGCCCCCATGTGTCCCCCAGCCGACCCCCCCGGGTTGTTTAGGGGATTTGCCCTTCAGTTCTGTCTGCGTTCACATGTGCGATGTTGACATTGCAGGTAGCCGAGCCGGCGGGCTGATCGCGGCGTGCTGGGCCACCATGATGTTCGTGGGCAGACAGAGATACATTCAGATGACGAAGGAGGTGGTGGACACGGCGAGATACATCGAAAATGAGTGAGTTCGATTTGTTACGTTATAACTAAACTACGAATAGGTGTTCGGTTAGCGCTGTGATGCATACCTCTGCCGCGCCCCAGTCTCGGTCTGGTGCGATCCCCTGGTGCAACCCCCTGGTGCAACCCCCTGGCGCAACCCCTGGTACGACCCCCTGGCGCGATCCCTGGTGTGACCCCCTGGCGCGACCCCTTGGTGAGGTCGTCGCCCTCGCGTGGTAAAGTGCGCTGTGGCGCCTGAGCCTAAGGACCGCCTAACATCAATCAGGCTCAGTAACTGTTTATCCAAAAAAACGGAAAGTAAAATAAATAGACAGAGAAAAAAATTCTTATCATTGTTTACTGTAACATTTTAAGGTTGGGATCACTGTTTGTAACGCATTTACACAAACATCTTGGTTTGTTTTCTTTCTAATTTAACTTCTGTAGATAATATTCATTGATCATTTTGAAGAGATTTATAACACAAAATACGGCTTCACTCCCTACAAGTTGACGCAGCCCTGCGAGTCGGGTCGGGGCACGAGGACCTAAGTCCGCTAAAGACGAGCGTTTTGTTATAAATAAGACTACAACGATCAAACATTTGCATTTTCAGATTACGCAAGATAGACGGCATCTTCATATTCGGCAAACCCGCCACCACCGTCATCGCGTTCGGCTCCCAGCGCTTCGACATCTTCCAGCTGGCCGACCTGCTGCACAAGCGCGGCTGGGCCCTCAACGCGCTGCAGTTCCCGTCCGGGTAGGTCCCCGCCCCGCGCCCCCGCACCACCCCCGCTGCACCCCCGCACCCCCGCACCCCCGCGCTAACCGTGCCGTGACGTTGCAGGGTGCACCTGTGCGTGACGCACGCGCACACGTGCGACGGCGTGGCAGCACGCTTCGTGGCGGACGTGGCGGCCGCCGCGCGCACCTGCCTCACCGACGCCGCGGCGCCAGTGCACGGCAAGGTACGCCCCCCCGCGGCCCCCCCCGCGGCCCTCCCCACGGCCCCCCGCGGCCCTCCCCGCGGCCCCCCGCGGCACCCCCGCGGCAACCCCGCGGCCCCTCCGCGGCCCCCACGCGGCCTTTAGAACATACATCTGACGATTAGTTGTAGTTCGGTCCTCAAGTAGGTTAAGATAAAGGGGACCGAGTAATAACTTTGTACGGTTTGTACATGCCTAACGCAGTGCGTTGATGCGCCGTGCGTCGTCATTGTGGTGTTAGGTTATTTTATTGCATTCCTGTATAGCAGTAATAATAAATATAAATAAATTAGCAACACGGACTCGTTAACACGCTACCATTTCTACTCAATCTGTCCTTAATTAACATAATAATGGTGCTCAAACAATATACTCTTTTGGAACTCTACAAACATTCCCCTTGTCCCCAACAAACTTTAATTCTACTTTGAAATCGGACGAGCACTGTAAAAGTGTACCAATAATATATGCCATAAAACTGAGCCTCTGAACTCATGTCTCAAGCCTGGACGCGATATTTACGTCGTTAATGAATGAATGAATGATGAATGATGAATGATTTATTTTATTTCAGACAACAATAAGTCCATATGTGTACATAGTATCATTGAAACATACTTAACATTAACAAAACCAATCAAATAAAAAAGATACATTTATTAAAAGTAGCTATCAGTTGAATACATTTCAAATATTCCATTCCGCTGATATCTACTTCGAACCAACTATTATTATTACTAATATTATTTAGTCCGCAAGTGAACCATGGTACAATGGTTCAAGTACCGACAGTCATAACGGTCTGTTAATGCCTTCAGGATGCTGTTAGGTCTGTTAATGTCTACGGACTTCGTTAACTACTCAACAACAGGCAGTAGGCTCGTCCACCACAAAATTCCCTAAACCAGTTGTACAATAGCAGTAAGAGCAAGTCCATGAATGTGTGTTCCAGATGGCAATATACGGCGTGGCGCAGGAGATATCGGACCGCAGCCTCGTGTCCGACATCACGAAGCACTTCATAGACTCCATGTACTACCTGCCCAAGGGCGACCCGCAGTAGCGCGCCGGGACACGTCGATTGTATTCCATTCCAAACGGCTTAGAAAATTGTAGATACGTTTGAGGTGGAGGAGTGGGTCACTAATCAAGTAATTAAATAAACAGAGAGTGAACGAAAAGCCATAAAAGTTAGTCGTTTTTATAGTAATTTTTATTCTAACGCTTATATTTAAGATCGTCGTGTTGTCATGTCACTGACAGCCACTGACGAGTCGGGGTCCGCCACAGTGACGAGACCCCCCACACAGCGCAGGCGCCGCACTACGTACCGAGTACTTGTGCTCTGTGTGACTACAGGGAAACCAGACAATGAGAATACCTTGAGCCATGTTTGGTTCACGACTAGACACACCCGCCCTTGTTCACATCTTCCCTCCGAGTGACCTGCGTCTAACTATTTTTTATTGATACGTAATAGAGTACATAATTTTATCTAATTATGGTCTGAGGGAATTCTCGCTTTGACCGGGGACTCCCCTGTTTTATTTTAAATCAAATTCTTAATCAATTCGTTGTTTTATTTAAAATTAAATTATAAATCGATTTTTTTTTGTACATGCATTATGTCATGAACCATATTGGTTAATTGGCTAAGTCATCACGAGAGACCGAAGGTGCCATATTGTACAAAGTACATTTGAACAGCTGTTAACTGTCGTTATCTTATTTCATATGCATTTATTTCTATTAACAATGTCACTAACATTAGAGGGTAGAGTGTAAAGGAAGATTATCTGAATTAAAAGGTTTTTCTACAACTAATTAAGATGACGTCACTGTACCCTCTGCATCCCTCAAATCAAAACGCATTACTGCTTCGTGGACGAAATAGGTAGGGTGGTGGTAACTATCCGTGCGGACTCACAAGGCGTCCTAAGTGAAGAGGACAGTTAATGTTTTGCTTTTATTAATATTTAATATAGCGTGGTCTTGTTTTATTATTGTTTTAATATTAAATTATCATTGTCTAATTATAATTGCATAAGTTGATAAAAAATGCTATGCAATAGCTTTACCGCGGCAGTTCCCGAGTGCCACACGTTTTTTTTTAAATTGATTTTATGACCTGGTACCTAAGACCTTTAAGTCATGTCTTATTTTAATTTATATTCTTATTTTTATGTAAAATGATAATATGGAGTGAAATGAAATGAAATGAAGATGATTAATTTTGATACATTAATCAACTGGGATGAAAATAGATGATATAGGATGAAATATAATCTCAGCAAAATGGTGGTCATTTACAAAGATTTTTTTAGTGCACTTTTTGGAGGATCCCGAGAAGCTACGTCCAGCGGCTTTGTTTCATTTTCCCACATTTGTGCACTTTCACAGATATTAAACAGTTAATAAACCACTGTTATTACACATTTTAACCTAAAGAAACACTAAGTAGACAAAATAAAACAAATCACACAACTTCACTCCTCGCGTTCCCGCCAAAAAGTCCGGAACCAAATGAGATTATCCTCCCGCTCTGTTCTACATTGCGACAAATTCACTTTCATAATACGCAAATGACAAGCACAGTTTTATTAGAAAAAAAAAAAAACGTATTTAACTTGTACAGTTATCTTGAATTCTATGTTCTAACATGGTTTATGTATATTATTGAACATTTATTGTATGTACTTAATTGAATTATAGATTTTATATTTGTATATTTTTATGAAAAATTTTGTAATCGCTCGATGAAGTTCAATTTTCGTTCCACTCGCACCTCGTGCGTTTGGCGAACGTGTAAGCAAGACAAATATATTTTGTTATGTTTTCAATAAATGTTTTTATTTATTAGAAACCAGTGCATCGTTGCAGTCAGAATATATTAAAAACGTTTCAACTACTAATTCGTTTTTCATTTACTAATCGTAAGCAAATTGTTTTGTTTATAAGCGAGTCCGTTCATGGACATCACACCCTGAACCGTCTGTCTAGAGAAATAAAGTCGAAGTTTCAATCGTAAAATGAATCTAAACTTGGATATAATTATGGTCGAATTTCAATGCAATCGCCCAAATTCATTTTATACGGCCATTGGCATATTAGAAAATACTAGCAACTTATTGAGCCTTTTTTTATTGCTTAGATGGGTGGAGGACCTCACGGCCCACCTGGTGTTAAGTGGTTACCATAAACATCTACAACGTAAATGCCGCCACCCACCTTGAGATAATAATTCTAAGGTCTCAGTATAGTTACAACGGCGGCCCCACCCTTCAAACCGAAACGCATTACTGCTTCACGGCAGAAATAGGCAGGGTGCTGGTACCTACCTGCGCAGACTCACAAGATGTCCTACCACCAGTCTGAGGACTAAGTCTTAAGGAATCGGTGGAAGATTTATAATGGGTGTTATAAAAAATATGTTACCTAACCTTATTGCAATAAATACTTAACTATTGTATTAAGCACTGTTTCAAACATGCATAAAACCTGCAGGGTCTGTAGAAGCCGAGTCATTTAACTAGTTCTGTCAATGAGTGTTTTTATTTACGCTCAATGACACTGCCAAAATTCCTCGACGAGACTTCAGCCCCGAGAATTATCTTAAAATGTAAATTGACTAGTGTGAACGTATGTCTATGATGAAGCTACTCCGTTTTAACAATATCCTGCTGTATTTGTCGTTAGTTGCATCAGTTCGGGGTATTAGTTATTGTGGCGCTAGAATGTGCGGGCAAACGAATGTACATACATTTTGCCAGTACCCTGTGAGTTTTAATGATGATCGTTTAATTTATTATGCTCATAAAAGGCCCTCTAGACTACCGGAGTCCTGAGAGAAGAATCTGAATCGCAATTTGGCATATAGAGCCTACTGCAAGAGATTTCAACATGAAATAAGTAGTGCCCTTGTACTCTGTATCCTTATTGTCGTGTTTCTTTTAACAGATGTGTGTACAAAATATTTATTAAATAAATAAAAATAAAATACAGTTGACATTTGAATCAGTTAATGTAGTGTAATTATTCTGTGTGAAATAACAGAGTATAGATTAATAATTCGTTCGATTAGTCAGGTTCCGGATGGTTCTATGCACGGTAACATGATTGCAGGAGGGTCCCAGTTCAAAATGCATGGGATACATTGAGACGCCACTCACTAAGGAAGAGAGGGCTCGACTTTTGGCCCGACTCAACCGGCGACGGAGCGAAGCAGCCATCCGGCGAGTGCCCGGCACGGTGCCCGCCGGCGACATGTTGAAATTGGTACAACTCTAATCATATACTTAAACTAGCCGCACTCGCCCGCTGCGCTGGGCATTTAAAATTAACATGATTATTTATTGTTATTATTATTAGGGAGTCCAACACTCACATAAATATTAGCCTATCGATTAAGTACATGTATTTTCTACATGGATACCAAGTTTCAAGTCAATCGGATGCATGGTTATAGATTTACTATAGATATACTATAGATTTATATATTAGTATAGATACAACACTACCATTCAACGGGTTCTCAGTACGATTTCCACATTTAATGAATTTCTGATACCTACCTATTTCGGCGTGTTGCAAGCACCGTGATCACGGGTACACTGAAAACTCCGCTATGTTATGATATTATAAATTTATATCCCTTACATGTCTGTTTTTGGCTGTTATAACTGGAGCTCCATGGCTCGCCCCTACCATAAACTGATAGTACCGCCAGTTTTTTTTCCAAAAACAGAATTATTATATTATTTTATAGTATTTTACTACCTAAACGAATTTTTTGGCTTCTTTTTTTTGTTTTGGTTAACGATACTTTTGTAATACTACTTGTAAATCTTACCTAATATGACTCGAAGCGATTATTTATTCCGGCTATTAAGAGTATAACAGCTTGGATTAAAAAAAGCGGGACGTTGACTGCATTTCTAACGCGACATTCATATTCTGGCACCCATGGGCCGTGTATCGAACCCTAGGTTTGCCCAGTGGTATTCAATTTTATGAGGGATATTCGCGTTAGGAGGCTTATGAAGACTAACGCGCGTATTCACGAGGAGATCACGATGTTCACCTTGACTAGATAGACACAAAGCTATGTCCTGATATATGCTTATGGTTCAGCGCTGGGTGGAGGAGTTGGCCCGCGAGGCTCAGCGGTGGGCTGACCAATGCCGGCCTCCGAGGACACCCGAAGAACGTGACGTCTGCAGGGATTTGTGTAAATATTTTTTTTAATATATTTTTTTAATTCTTCTTTTAAACTTAAACTTCTTTAGCATCGTTGTGATTCGAAAGTCGATGATTTTTTTTTCTTGCTTAGATAGGTGGACGAGTTCACAGCCCACCTGGTGTTAAGTGGTTACTGGAGCCCATAGACATCTGCAACGTAAATGCGCCACCCACCTTGAGATATAAGTTATAAGGTCTCAGTATAGTTACAACAGCTACCCCGCCCTTCAAACCGAAACGCATTACTGCTTCACGGCAGAAATAGGCAGGGTGGTGGTCCTACCCGTGCGGACGCACAAGAGCTCCTACCACCACCAGTACCGTCGCAGGTTTAAAAATAAAGACATTTATGTTTCTCAAATTTGAGCGCTTGTCTGAAGTTACGTGTCACTTAGTAATTAAAAATGTCAAAGGGTCCCATGTGATCCTTGAACATTTTCAGGATTTTTCAGGATCCTTCGTTTTTTCTATCTTTTATTGTAATGGTAAATAACGCATAATAAAAGTGCACAAAAAGTCTAGACGTATCGTAGTACTTTTTTATTATTATTGATGGATTACTAGTGATCTTTCCAATTTCACCTGGACAGGTGGGGGTCGTAGATCTGTTGTTACAAGAGTCCTTACGTAACCACGTAAATGCCGTCACAGAGACATGAGTTCTAACTCTCAGTTCTACAGTACAGTACAGTACCCATTATCTCTTTTAATAGTAACGTAGGTACAGGTATGGACTATACTGGTGGTAGGAGCTCTTTGTGAGTCCGCACGCGTAGGTACCACCACCCTGCCGTGAAGCAGTAATGCGTTTCGGTTTAAAGGGTGGGGCAGCCGTTGTAACTAAACTGAGAACTTAGAACTGATATCTCAAGGTGGGTAGCGGCAATTACGCTGTAGATGTCTATGGGCTCCGGAAACCACTTAAAACCAGGTGGGCTGTGAGCTCGTCCACCCATCTACGCAATAAAAAAAAAGGTACGTGTTACATACACACATTAAAATTTTCATCGAAATTAATACTGTCATGGCTTAGATTAGTGTGCCACAAATCGTTGTAGGTTTAATGGATTTTGAATCCATAAATGTAGCTAGTTTTGTTTTGATATGCTATTTCGGGAATTCGGTTTTTATAGATTCGACGTCGGTAGGGCAGTGCGTGGCGTCAGTGGTGGGCGAAGCACCCGGTCTCCACGTGGAGTCCATGGTCGACTTGTGGTACATGCAGGGCCGGTATTATAGAGGAAACATTACTTATTACATTCCGTAAGTTTCACTTTACGGGACCAATGGTCTATTGATTAAGTTTTTTTTTATAGCTTAGATGGGTGGACGAGCTCACAGCCCACCTGGTGTTAAGTCGTTACTGGAGCCCATAGATATCTAAAACGTAAATGCGCCACCCGCCTTAAGATATCTATAAGTTCTAAGGTCTCAAGTATAGTTACAACGGCTGACCCACCCTTCAAACCGAAACGCATTACTGCTTCACGACAGAAATAGGCAGGGTGGTGGTACCTACCCGCGCGGACTCGCAAGAGGTCTTACCACCAGTATATACATACAGCTTTTTTATTTCCTACCTAAGCTGATAAGCCTTGAGATGCTATGTCAGCGTAATCCTAACGTGTCGGTGAGCTCTCGGAGCTTAAACCGGAGGTGTTGCTTTCTGGCCCTAGGAAGAGTAGTGTTTCGCAGAATCTACCACCGGATCGGAATCGCGACCCACTGAAAAGATCCAGCGAGAAACTCTGGACTGTGTCTGTGGTTTAATATATACAGCACTGCAGATCGAATAAATTGGTGATACATTTGTGACGTCACTGTATTTATCATAATGTAGTTAGTTCCTGGTCTTGAACTGCAAATTTACACAGCAAATAACAGTAGATTTGGATGTTATATAATAGTAAATATTTATGATTATTTCCGATTCGCAGCGCTAGGTTAGTTTATGTAAAAAATCATCAAATCTATCTCCGAACTTATCTACCTATATACAGTACTGTTTGAGTCAAGGATCGGAGCATATTTCTCAATAAATATGTGTCACTTATAGTTGAAAATTGTATTGTTACGAAGTACTTACACTAAGAACATTCATTATGGTATTTAAAATCATAATTACTATAAATACATCTTTTTACTTTTTGATTCGCGAATTGATTTAAAAGATCTTCACAATCTAAATGTTGAAGAAAATCTGATTAGATACAAAGTTTTTCTAAACCATTCAGCCCATTTCGGCTAAGGGCAAAGTATATCTCACTTATATGAAAAATACTTTTCGAAAAATTTGAATAATTACATTAAATGTTGATTAAAAATAATAATGATGCAGGGAGAGTTATGTTTATATACATTATGAGAAAATACTAGCCGTTGTGGTATGTATAAAGTTTGTATACGTTTTTTTTCTTCACAGTCCTCAAAGTACCGGCGGTTTTTATGGAGACTTTGCACAAATCCTCTGGTCTAAGACCTACATGGTAGGATGTGGCCGAAGTCGTTTCTTGGTAATCATGCACTGCTTTTTTATTTATTTTATATTCTCCATGTTTCGTAATCAGTTAGTAATTCGAAAGGAATCCGGGCATCGCAAGGGCTGTAAACTTGACCGGTAAGTCGGAAATAGTAAACAGATGTACTAATGCTGGTGAGATCAAGCTGTGTGAGTGAAAGTTTCAGATAATACACAACGAGAGATACTTGAAAACTTGAAAACATATAAAAAAATCATTTGATTAAATCAGATGGACAGACGAACTCATGGTCCACCTAACTTGACCACTCGACTTGACTGTTTTTTGAATGTAAATTGTGTTTTGGTGTGCAATAAAGTGTATTATCTCTCTTTCTCTCTGTTTTTAATTCAAATTTATTAAAATTTATTTTTCAATTTTTAGTTGAATTTCAATTTTTTCAATTTTTTTTAATATTGTGTTGTCATCGGTCCTTAATAAATATACCAAATTTCGAGAGAAAAGCGTATTAAAAATAACAAAGATTATAAATAGACTTACATAATTGACGTGTTATCAGAGTCAGGTGAAAGGTCGGTTCAGAACAGTAGAGCGTCTAGTGTGTAACTTCGCCCCCCGTGGGCCCGCGCCCGCCCGCCCGCTGTGGAGCCCCGCCGCCCCCGGCACCGCCTGCCCCCCGCGCTCGCAGCGGGACCGCACGCTCACCGCTCTCTGCAACTATCGTTAGTATCCGCCAATCACATCTACTTGAGCACGTTTCTATGGGCGTACACAGACGGGTGGACGAGCTTATGACCCACATGCTAAGTGATTACTGAAGCTCATAGACGACATTACATCAAAACGTACTGGTGGTAGGACCTCTTGTGAGTCCGCACGGGTTGGTACCAAAACCCTGCCTATCTCTGCGGTGAAGTAGTAATGCGTTTCGGTTTGAAGGGTGGGGCAGCCGTTGTCACTATACTTGAGACCTTAGAGCTTATATCTCAAGGTGGCGCATTTACGTTGTAGATGTCTATGGGCTCCGGTAACCACTTAACACTAGTTGGGCTGTGCGCTCGTCCACCCATCTAAGCAATAAAAAAATAAATAAAAAAAAGCGTTAAATACTATATGTAAATGAAAATTTAAGGTACTTGCTACTACATTCAATCTTGTCATATCGATCCACGGATTATCAAACGCAGAAGTCGTTTCCAAGCTGGTTTCCTTTACAAAATGTCGTTATTTCGTAGTTTTGATCTTTCATGATCACACGTAACATGTTTGGAAATAATTAGTTTGAAAAATTAGTACTTACCTCACAACAACGCACTGATTATGTGATTGAACTTCGCATTTAATTTCTACACGAAGAAATACTTCTTGTCGAATCGCAATAAATAAAAATTATCAAATTTTAGAACCACAAGTTATCGAAAGCTCCCATATAGACAAACTGATGCCAATAAATGAACAGATCATTCAAACTACACTTTTGGAGATTGAAGGAAACGAAACACTAAATTATTTTGGAAGTCTCGATGAAATATATTTGACTAAACTAGCGGTTATTACAATGAAAGACGTAATGACAACGTTGCGTTATAACTCATTGCAAAAGCGAGACGTAGCTGAAACAGTTTTGATAGAAGATGCAAAAGCTGAATTACAAATTCATAATAATATTAGTAATTTTAAAGAAATAAGTGAATCGAAACTCGGTAAAGAAACAACGATAAAGATCTCGAAGAAAGTAAGTTTAATAGGAAGACCTAGAACATATAATATTGAGGAATTAAACGATGTTTCTGAACAACAAACCGACAGTAAGTAACATCAAACAAACATAAAAACTCTGCGTTATAGTCTTAAATAACAGTCAGTCATCAACCTTTAAATTAAAGGGTTTGACTCTTGACAAGCCAGCTTTGAGTTTATTGGGAAAGTCCTAACGTGAATTTTACGCACAAGTGGCCAAGTTTTTTTACTGGCATTCTTCTTCTTCTTCTCAATCGTGCCACTCTTGACAGAGTGGTCGTGATCATCATGTAGTGTTGGAAGGGGCAGACTTGATGCGTCTCACGATGTCGCGCCATCTCTCCTTGCTAGAGGCCATTCTACTGCACTCATTTAGGGGACCTCCCACTGCCATACATTTCACTTAAAGCGCTCATTCATTGGCATTATGAGGCAAATAACATGAAACGGATTCATAATATAATGGAAACCTTGCAGATGTTGATGCAGTGGATGATGTGTACGATATTGGAGAAGATTTATACGGGAATTATGAACAGAATGAAAAAAGCAATAAAAGTAAACTGCATGAACAAGAAGATAAAACCGATACAAATGTTGAACTTCCTAATAGAAATGACTCTATTGTTACTGGTCAGTATTGGAAAGCAAAACACAGAATTGAATTAAAATTAAACATTATAAAGTAATTAATGTAATAAAATTACAGAAAATGAATTGAGTAACGCTGAAAAAATTGAGTTTCCATCTACAGAAAACGATTCATCCAATGTTACAGCTACAATGGATACTGTTACTAAAGAAATGAGAGCGTCGGTAAATATGTCATCGGATGAAGAAATTAAATCTATTGTTAATGGATCATTGAAAGACAACGTTGATGATTATTTAAGTGATCGTGAGTGATATTTAGTTTCATTTCAGTGAAACGGGTTCCGAAAGGGCTCGTAGCGACTTTGCGTCACTCTTGATTTTAAATATTTAAAGTGCTCCATATTTTTCCATAAAACGTTGGAATATATTATGGTTAATTTTGTACGCAACATGATTTCAGGGGCTACATAAGCGTACAGAAGTAATAACATTGTGTTTTAAAGTAAAATGTACAAAAAATATGAACTGGTATATTTGACAATCGAAAGTTTTGGGTATTTAGTAAGCCCTCATGATTCGGTGTCGCAATTTTTGGCTAACAGCAAGTGGGAGGTTTGGTCACCAGAACCATGAGCTCGTCCACTATCTGTGCAAAAAAAAATATATTTAATGTTTCTAGATCAGGTATCAGGTATATCTTTAATATTTGAAGTATATTATAAAAGAGTGTATGTGTTGATTTCTAGCGGAAACGGTTCAAGAATTGCAAAAGGCATTAGAACAAATGGAACGAAGTCTTGCGCCTAAATCTGCACTCCACGAAAAGGTAGTCTAATATTCTAAAATGACATAATAAAATCTTCCTTTATCTTTGATTTTGTTTTCGCTTAATTTTCACATCTGCCAAATCAACCCATTCCCGAGACGTATTTAAAAAAAAAAGCTTTTACTTCACACCTGCTTCTAAGTATTGTCAAAGCTAATTAACACAGTTATTCTAATAATTTGTTTCTATTTTCAAGGTCCGTCGAGAGATCCGAAACAAGCCTACAGGAAGCAACAAAGAAGCGAACAGAGAAAGTCCAGCGGGACAGGAGGCTGCTGACAAAGGGCCAATGATAAATATGATTCTACGATATATGCCGTATTTGAAGCAATACGAAAATAGCTTGACTGGATCCTCGACGAGGGCGGGAAATAGTGTCGTGTCTTATGCTGTTGTTGTCTTCATGTTAATCTTGTGACAATTAAAGTTAAATGCTTATTACTTTTTACGTGCTTCCGAAATGTCATCATCATCATAATCGGTTACTCTGGGCAGAGTAGTAGTGGTCATGTGGAATTCTTGCTTATTAAAGCCTTGACAGATGTTTTCCATAGTTTGCGAACCGAGGCCCAGCGCACACACTCGTTAAGTTCCGAAATGTACAACGTATATTTTTTTTATTGCTTTTATGGGTGGACGAGGTCACAGCCCACCTGATGTTAAGTGGTTACTGGAGCCCATAGACATCTACAACGTAAATGTGCCACCCACCTTGAGATATAAGTTTAAGGTCTCAGTATAGTTACGTCTGCCCCGCCCTTCAAACCGAAACGCATTACTGCTTCACGGCTGAAATAGGCAGGGTGGTGGTACCCACCCGCGCGGACTCACAAGAGGTCCTACCACCAGTAAATTATATATAGGTACTATTTAAATGCTGTGATTGGCAGCGGATTAATAGTGCTCTGGGCATTGACCGATGTTAGTCGACGCATAGCCGACACGATAATATGGGTGATATCGGCACGTCTTGAATTCGAGGTTGCAATTGTTGTGGTGGAATTGCTCGCTCTTCAAACCGCAACACATTATTGCTTCGCAGCAGAAATAAGAAGGATTGTGACAAGTTCTCGCTTGGTCTCTGAATATTCTACTATCATTTATCACGCATATTGCCGAATTTTTTGAAGTGAAACTTCTTTAGGCGCATGAGGGTAAAAATTTTACAGATGTAACGTCACGCAGGTATGCAACGGAAGTGTCGAAAGAGAGAGAGAGAGCGATCGAGACCGATTGAGGGAGAGTAAGACAGGGCGAACGTAGCATGAAGCAACTAGCCATGGAGTGAGAGTAGGGAGCAAGCAAGTGAGAAAGATCGAGAGAAAAAGCTAGATAGAATGCTCAGTTCCTACATACTTTAAAACATACGTATAAAGTATTTTATTTTTAATACAACGCCATCTGTGAGATGTTTTAATACTAACGTGTGTATGAAACCTCTTGTAGTGAATTTTAATTTAGGATATACGTGAAGTTAAAATATCAATTCACAGAGGGCGCTACCTCATACTATTAAAGGTGATTTACAATTATCTACTAATGAGAAAATTTTACTAATAATATACTTAGACATTTAGGATAATTGTATTTTAATTTTTGAAGGTTTCACTTCTAACACGTGTGAATTGCACACATGTTATTTTTTTATTGCTTAGATGGGTGAACGAGCTCACAGCCCACCTGCTGTTAAGTGGTTACTGGAGCCCATAGACATTTACAATATATGCTTCACCCACCTTGACATGTAATTTCTAAGGTCTCAGTATAGTTACAACGGCTGCCCCACCCTTCAAACCAAACGCATTACTGCCTCACGGCAGAAATAGGCAGGCTGGTGGTACCTATTCGTGCGGACTCACAAGAGGTCTTACCACCAGTAATTATGCAAATTATAATTTTGCACGTTTGATTTTTATAACACGACGCTATTCCTTCACCGTGGAAGTCAATCGTGAATATTTGTTGAGTACGTATTTCATTAAAAAATTGGTACCCGCCTGCGGGATTCGAACACCGATGCTTGATCCGATGCCGATGCCGATCGCTTGATACGAATGCACCGGACGTCTTATCCTTTAGGCCACGACGACCTCAAAATCGTGTTACACCTTCATCGCGAAAGTAATTCATGGTCACGAGTTACGTAAAAGGTGTTAAGAGTATTTAAAACTAGACAGTCTTATTTAAGGCTGTTTCAAATATCACTGCCGACTTTTTTATCCTACTTAAGCTGGTACCTTGAGAGGCTGTGCTAGCGTTACCGAGCGAGTGGGTGAGCTCTCGGGGCTCAAACCTGACGACGTTGCTAACACGAACCCTAGCAAGAGCCGTACTTCGCAGAATCTACCACCGGATCGGAAACGCGACCCACTGAGAAGATTTGGCCCGAAACTCAGTGGGCCAGTCCGATAGGTATCAATGTAGCTATTACACTTTTAACATGACCAAGCAGTACTAGTACATTGCTCGTAATGACTCCCACTAAAGTTATCAATGGAATCAATAATGATAAATAAATCATTGACCCGATTCTGCTAACCGGATTAGAGAGTGTTGCCTGGGTTGTAGACGATTAAAAATTAATGGATGAACGCCTTTGTACGCTGTGACGCGTCTAGTTTGGATCTATGAACTTGTGGCTTTTTGAAGTTATTGGCCCAGTTAAAGCAGCTTAATGACATTGACGATTGACATGAAGTCAATGCCCTTTACGAGTAGTGACTAGATATGGAGGTCAGAAGGATTGCATAGCGAGTTCAAGTCGCACATACTACTTAGCTGTTCTAACAAAAAGGTTGGTAATTCGATGGATTTGGTCACCTTGGTGTCGGGAAATAAAAAAGATTAATACTCAAAGTGAAACTTGTACAGGGCCTACCTGATCGTGAGTGGTCATCAGCCAAATTTAATTTTATTGCTTAGGGGTTGGACGAGCTCACAGTCCACCCTTGGTGTTAAGTGGTTAATGGAACCCATAGGCATCTAAAACGTAAATGCGCCACCCACCTTGAGATATAAGTTCTAAGGTCTCAGTATAGTTAGTTAGTTATCAATGATTACCGCTTATGATTCGCTCTAAGCCTTATTTTAACTAAATCAATAACTGCAGTACCCAGTGATGTGATGGTAAAAAATGATGGCGGAATTTTTGCTAACCAAGCCGATTTTCAAATCTATGATAAAAAAAAACATACAAAAATACAAAATATAGTTAAATAGAATAACAAAACGTGTCCTATTATTCATTAACTTAAATAAGCATACCTATATATATACAATTATCGTAGGTTGCTCATATAGTAGTATAAGATGTTCAGTTAAAATTGCATTTAACATTTTCTAATTTAAAATTCCTAAGGGAGTATTCATTATTAATAATTATTATTATGTTCAATGGAAGTCACAACTATGTGTTCCTTTTACATTATACGATTTGCTCACGATTTTTATTACTCAATCTAAAACCCATTGAAGATTCATGAAAACATTACTCAGCTGTGCCTTTACTTGTTAATATTAAATAATACATATAAAAGGTATGAATTTGTATAGGATATTTAATTTGGATTATTTTTTGCCATAAATAACAGTACCCGTCTCTCCGCGTGCGTGTCATAAAATGAATTAAGGGATTTATCGGAGAATGGAAAGCAGAGTTCTCTGAGTATTATACTAACATATTGGAATACAAGCATTTGCTGGTGGTAGGGTATATTGAAGGCCTGCACGAGTAAATACAGGAATAAGTAGAATGGAGTATCCTACTTATTCCTGTCGCGAAGCAGCCATGCGTTTCGGTGTAAAGAGCGGAATAACCACCATTCGACTTAATTGAGACATTGTCCTATTATCTCAAGGTATGTGACGTCATTCACTATTAGACGTATTCGGACTTTGATTAAATGGGTCCAGTTAAGAGCAGATAGGACACTAGCGTGTTCCACACTGTATGTGCAGAGCAATGACAAATATGAATACTCAATATCTTTGTTTTGCCGGTGAACATAGTTGAACGAGCTTAAGACCTACTTCAACCATCAAACAGCGTCACACGTAAGCAATGCGCAATGCCAAGGGCACACCTATGCCGTTGTCTACAACTGTAACAGTAGACGTTCAGTGCTGCATACTGTGAGCTCGCACCGCATACCGCTCGTTATCTTGGTAGACCGAGGTACTGGTCAAATCATTGTAATAGGGAAGGACAAATTGTGAATATAAAATGAATGAAGTCGTAAATTGTCGCTGTATTTAATGTCTGTAATTTCAGACATTCTAAATTTAAAATAAATTATAACGGATTTTAATTATGCACATCCACGACACAATTACAAAACATCGTTCTGTATAAAGTGCTTTTCGTAAAGTACCGTCGGTCATCGTCCGCCGCGTCGGCCGCGTCGGACGCCAGTGCGTCGCGGTCACTCGACGCGGCCGCCGCCTCTGTAGCTCCGTAGCTCGACGTAGACAACGTAGACGGTCTACGATTCGCGTGCCGTTTTCTTGAACTAATTAAATGTAATTAAATAGGTGCGGCTTTTCGTATTTTTTTTCTTTAAAGGGTTTGTTAATTTTACTTTTGAAAAATATATTTGTGGATATACTAGTTTACGGAGTTTAGGAAATTAAGCGGATATTACAAACGGATTTAAATGGACCATGCATTTTTCACGCTTTTGTTAGTTTAATTTTTAACGGTCGCTGTACCAGGCGTATGAATCTATATAAAATACGTGTATAACAGTTGAGGAAAGTAGCGTGATCGAAATACTGAATGGTTAACTGGTACAACACGAGATTTAAGTAATGGGATTATAGATTCAAAATAGTGTCTGTACAATGAATAATTATAATAGCTGTTGGCAATGAAATTAATGTTTTAATATTATCACAACTTTTAATAATTCCCTAATTTTTTACCTGGAATACGGGCTGGAATTTGTATTAGATACACGTTCTTATTCTAAAATCAGTATCTTAGAGCAGACCTTGATCCTTGAATCAGATAATAATATAATCAGGACGAATACTGGACACTAGTCTAGAATAGAGTGTCTTACAGTGGGAAACAATATTGGAGCAGTACCGTGAAGTAAGACTGATGCGTCAATCTTGGAATTTAGGATGACGAGTTTAAGCTTGTTTATTTGATATTGTGACCTTTGTTTCAACGGTCTTTTGAGTGAAGTCAAGTCTCGTGTAATATCGTGTTATATTGTCGTAGGACCAAACATTGTTTTGTTGTGTTGTTGTATATAGGCGTTTATGTTGAGACTAGCTTTTGCCCGCGACTCTGTCCGCGTGGAATAGTTACTTTTCATAACGCTAAATCTTGCCCCCACTTCATTTACGTAGAAAGTGAAAATATTTTTTAATTATAGAATGTTAAGGAGCTATTTAAACCCCTATTTTGAAACATTCTTTATTGGTGCTCCACTTGTATTGGCCTTACCATGATGCCTATAGTCTTCCTCAATAAATGGGCTATCTAATACTGAAATAATTTTTCAAATCGGACCAGTACTTCCTGAGATTAGCGCGTTCAAACAAACAAACTTTTCAGCTTTATAATATTAGTATAGATTATTGTTCGTATTATTATTTTGACTTCGGCAATAGTCCTCTACGTCACGTACTCTCGTTAGGTCTCGTTTACTATTCGAAGATGACGAATGACCTGAAAGCTTCAACGAGTGAGAAGGAGGCACGAGGCTCCTGGCCGAGGAGGGACGACCTCAAGATTGAGTTCGGGTTCGGAATGCCTCTAGGGGCCATGAGTGCTCATCCAGCTTTCCACTCTGCTTGGGACATCGCTTGGTAAGACTCATTGAAAATCTACATGTTTTCTAACACTCATTCATTAGCTTTAGTATCTATTCGATTGAATATTGCAACTTAACATATAAGTAATAAAACTTAATAAATAAGGACACGCATCTAGGATTGATGATCTAACAAAAATTTTTTGGGTTAAATATATTTAGTTATATACATATATTCATAAACCGGTGCTCTTAATATTACGTCGAAATATTATTTTAATAGTAGCTTAAAAGTAGTTTAACAGATCGCATCGTGAACTCCTATATACAAAATAAATATGATAAGAAAGCTATCATAAAGGGTTAAAGTATGAAATTGCCGAATTGTACTGAAAAAATGAAATTCGTTTTGTTTTTTATTTAACATATTTATTAAATCAAAATATCTACCATTATTATCTATACATTGTTGCCAGCTAATAGGAATGTCATTTATGCCTTTGCGATAGAACTCTGGTGATCTAGATTCTAAAAACTGTCTGAAAGCATTTTGTACTGTTTCCTGGGAAAAAAACTTTTTAACACGTAGAAAATTTTTCAAATCGATCGTTTCCGTTTTAAGGGGTAATAAATCTTCTCAATATATACCTATAATATCAACTGTGAAAGTAATTATTACAAATAGAGCCGTTCTGCCCAGTTTTACACCTAAGCTGCTAACCTTCACAATAATGCTTTTGAATGCTTCGAGCTTGATGTCGGACCCGTTTCTCTGTATAACGCGAACCGATCGCCTTGCTGATAACCGCTTACAATAATAACAGAGACCTGTCGCATCAACACTTCTGTGGCCTCGGCGGCGTTAATGTAGTGTTCGTATAAATATTCCGAAACTAAATGTGTTTTTTTTATTCTTTTTTTATTGCTTAGATGCGTGGACGAGCTTACAGCCCACCTGGTGTTAAGTGGTTACTGGAGCCCATAGACATCCACAACGTAAATGCGCCACCCACCTTGAGTTATAAATTCTAAGGTCTCAAGTATAGTTGCAACGGCTGCCCCACCCTTCAAACGGAAACGCATTACTACTTCACGGCAGAAATAGGCAGGGTGGTGATACCTACACGCGCGGACTCACAAGAGGTCCTACCACCATTCTCAAGCGTGGGGGCACACGATGCGTTGCGGCGCCGCACCGCAAGAATTTCAACGTATCGACGAGCATATGAGCGGTCATGTGTGCCCCCGCTCTAAGACGTCCGCTGCATTCGTATATAGCGATGCACCGGTGTTCGAATGTACCAATTTTTCCAATGAAATACGTACTTTACAAATGTTCACGATTGACTTCCACTGTGAAGGAATAACATCGTGTAATAAAAATCAAACCCACAAAATTATAATTTGCGTAATTACTGGTGGTAGGACTTCTTGTGAGTCCGCACGGGTAGGCACCACCACCCCGCCTATTTCTGCCGTGAAGCAGTAAGGTGTTTCGGTTTGAAGGGTGGGGCAGCCGTTGTAACTATACTGAGACCTTAGAAATCATATCTCAAGATGGGCGTCGGCATTTACGTTGTAGATGTCTATGGGCTCCGGTAACCACATAACACCAAGTGGGCTGTGAGCTCGTCCACCCATACATGCAATAAATAGAAACATTAATCTTATATATAAAAATGAATCTGTGTAATGTATGTACCTACGCGCATAGTTTCAGAACGCCCGCAACAAATTGAATACCGTTACCGTTTACTACTCGAGTAGGAACAAGTCCCTTATTAAGCGTCCCTTAAACTGGTGCATAGACATCATCCCAGCGAAAAGCACAGCGGTGCTATTTCAAAGGGGAAACTCTACACGAACTTCCTCCCGCATTAGGAGGAGAAATATCACACCCCCGATCACCCTCTTTGGCCAACCTATTCCCTGAGCCAGGAAGGTCAAGTACCTGGGAGTCCCCCTGGATATATCCATGCCGTTCTGCCAGCATATTAAAAACAGTCCGCGACTTTACCCCATAATATGTAAGCGGAGTAAAATGTCCCTTCGGGACAAGGTGACACTTTATAAAACTCCATAAGGCCCGTCATGACTTACGCGAGTGTGGTGTTCGCTCACGTAGCCCGAACGCACATAGACACCCTCCAATCCCTACAATCTCGTTATTGCAGGTTAGCCGTCGGAGCTCCGTGGTTCGTAAGGAACGTCGACTTACACGACGATCTGGACCTCGAATCGATCCGAAAACACATGAAGTCAGCGTCGGAACGTTACTTCGATAAGGCTATACGTCATGATAATCGCCTTATCTTAACCGCCGCTGACTACTCCTCGAATCCTGAACACGTCGGAGCCAGTCACCGTCGACGCCCTAGACACGACTTTACGGCTCCATCAGATCCAATAAGCCTTGCAATAGACACCTTCAGCTCTAACACTAGGAGCAGACTTAGGCACCTCGGTAACCGTACTCGTCGAACTCGTCAAGGAGCTCGACGTGCAACCTAACCTAAACATCATCCTGCTAAGTTTCTCGCCGGATCTTCTCAGCGGGTTGAGATTCCGATTCATTCGCGAAGCAGCTGCCTTTGAGTTGTTAGGTCTTCTTTGGAGGCGCTCGGGCAGCTGTTAGCAAATTTCACCCCTCCTGGCTGAGCCTTTGCTCGCGCACCTGCCCTGGTCAAACTGGAGAGGTCTCCGGGCCACCAGTAATCCCTCAAACATAAAAAAAAACCAAACGATAGGCAGGAAAATAATCCATAAGCGTCATGAATTGGTGCACACTGCAAACAAACATAGAAGTAAGGGCCGAAGTGTTTGTTTGCTTATCGAATCATATCGTAATTATTCGGCTAATTTATTTATGAATATTTATTAGTATGGTAATCAAGGTTATATTTTTGTAGCTTCGTCGGTCACGCAACATTCGACATCGTCCTTGGACCACAATGTTTCATAAATCAAATCAAATCAAATCAAAAAAATTTATTCAACATAAATGAAAGTACATACTTGTTGAACGTCAAAAAAACTACCGCCAATTCACAAGAACTAGCCTCCGTCCTGAGAAGAATTGGCAAGAAACTCAGCGGGCATGTCCTTTTTTTTTTACATATGAAATTATTATTTATTTATTTTTTAATATTAGATTTTTTTTTTAAATATGAATTTTTTACAATGAGTAATATAACGTAACAATTACTACAATATTGAAATGCCTGGAGCGTGCAACTCATTCCCACTTTGTGCAATCTTCTAGATAATCATTGACTTTATAATAAGCTTTATTGCACAGATGNATCATGCGATTCCTCCCAAGATTTAAAAATATTTTTGAGTAGATAAGCACCTGCATCAGTTGTAGAGCGACCCCTGGTAAACCCGAATTGTTTATTATGAAGCAGGTTATTTGAATTACAATGTTCTAAAAGTTGTGTCAAAATAATTTTTTCAAATATTTTACTCAACGTAGGGAGTACTGAAATAGGTCTATAGTTAGAGGGGTCATACGAATACATCGTGAAAATGACGCAAATAGAACAGATTTTTTTCTCTCCATTTATTATAAATCTTTATTATTACTGGTGGCAGGACCTCTTGTGAGCTCGATGGGGTTTGGTCGGTAGTCGGTTCTGCGGGGTAAGTGCTACCCGCGCCTTTTTCAAGGCGTAGTCTCTTGTGAGAAATTGCGGGAGGTGAAGGACCTCTTGTGAGTCCGTACGGGTAGGTACCACCACCCTGCCTATTTGTGCCGTGAAACATTAATGCGTTTCGGTTTGAAAGGCGGGGCAGCCGTTGTAACTATACTTGAGACCCTATAACTTATATCTCAAGGAGGGTGGCGTATTTACGTCATAGATGTCTATGGACTCCAGTAACCACATCTAAGCAATAAAAAAAGAGAAGGTCAGATGTGCTTGCACTACAACAGTGAATGTTAGGTACATTTGTAATTTGTATAATTCAATTTATCGAACAGAAATCAGCTTGCCCTGTTCTCAGGTATAGACTCATATTATGTCTCTTTGAAGCAAAAAAAAATAATAAAATAAGAAAAATCACAATTAAATATACATATTTAGCGTTGAAAAGCTATTCTATTTAAGAAATATCCGACGGTAACCACTCACCAGGTGGACCGTAAGCTCGTCTGCCTACACGGGCAATAAAAAATAAAAAAAAAACTACGCATACCGCATAGGCTCGCTCGCGGCTGGTGTGAGGATATTTTTGAATATTGAATACAGTAAAAATATTTGGATACGGATTATTTGGATGGATATATATTATTTGGAACGGATATTTGGATCGTTTTGAAATCCGTATCCAAATATTTTGATAAATATGACCAGTATTTATCCGTTTAGCACACGTAAAATCATTATCTCGATTTGAACTTGTATTTAATAAATAAATGAAGACTGATTTGCCTGAGGAGTCTGGAACAAATTGGCCGTTCCGCTGAAATCATGCCCACACAATAATTTACCATAATTCGACTGGACGAGTGGGCGAGATCCTCACAAAGGACACAATAATAATCCGTATTAGAGCAAACGTAAGCTTGTTAGGGCCATTTTACTTGGTCTGAGCGGGGTTTGTTGATATTGAAATACTACTTGAAATATTATGTTCTCGAACCTTCTTCGAGCAGTAAACAGAATAAAAACATTTTTAATATTTATCAATTACCTATACGAATCTTACGTTTATTTAATAAATAAAGTTATAATTAAAGTATTTAATAAATAAATTTATTTAATAAATCGGGACAAATCATAAACGATAATCTGACCCCAAACTAGGCTTTTCTGTACTGTGTGAAGAGACTGATGTACATACTTATTATTTAGGTTTAAATAAATACATTTAAAAGATTAGACAGACAGACAAAGAATAAAGAAACATTTATTTTCTAATTACATTCTAGATCGCGGGAATCTTTACATTATTTATACTTGTAATTATAAAAATGGATAATAACTAATGATAAAAACTGCGAATACCGATATTATATTAATAGGTGTTGAACACTGGAATCGTTTTGAAATA